TCACGATTGTCCAGTAGTATTTTATTTTTCATTTTTTTTTTCTACAAATCAGAATTATCTGAAATTTGGAGCGTGTGTATATCTTAGTGAGGCAAGTCTAATAAAAAAAAAAAAATAGTTTGTTAAAAAAATTTGACCAAAATACCCTTGAAACTTTCCGGGGGTATTTTGGTCAATTTATTTCATGTAAAATATTTTCTTGATATTTTTCGTAGATTCACCTATTTTTGATGAGCACTCCAAATTTCAGATCGTTCCGATTTTTAGAAAAAAAAATGAAAAACGAAACACTACCGAACATCATGACTGTGCGATGAACTTTGGACAGTGATGAGGGTAGGCGAAATCACTGTTCATTTTTTGCCTATAGGCATTTTGTAGTATCTTCCATATATATATATATATATAATGCTTTTTATGCACCCAAATCCACAAATGGCACGTTGGTAGATCGTGTGCACCCTTTATATTAGATTAGGGGATCGTACCCACCCAAAAGCAATTGTTTTTTTACCACTATAAAAAAATAAATAAAATACAGCTATTTCGAAAGTAAGGGGATATGGTGGTACACAAGGGGGTTCGAACCCTTAACATGAAGGCCACATATGGTGAACATTAACCAACTAGACATTTACTAGTTAGAATTGAATTAAACATAGTGTTATTTATAAACAAAATGCTAGGTGTACACCCTACTCGGATTTGCCCTATGGGCAAGTCTGACTAACTCGCCCGAGTTTGATTTGACTCAGGCGAGTCGCGGAACATTGGATCTCAGTGCGAGCACAACTTTACACTGATTGACATAGTCGGAAGCATGTGCATGATCCTAGCCAAGGTCCAAGTAGAGTTAAACAGTACCATTTCTGCTAAGAACGTGCTTCTGTCAGGGGCAGGCAAATTTTTGCTGTTGACACAAACTTAAGGATCATGAAAAACAGAAATCCACCAAATGATGAGATGAAAAGAATATATAAAAACAACAAGCAAGAACAAGGAAGAAATGATTGGTAGAGATAATGTCAAGCCAACAGCCACAAAAGTCTTCATCCCTTATTGGCCCTCGCTTCCTATTCCCTCCCCCCCGCCCCCGTCTTTTTCTTTCCCTCCCTCCCGCCCTCCATCCTCCAAATGCCAAACACCCCCTCCCCCTCTCCTCTCTTCCCTTTCCCTCCTCTCCCTCGAACTTAACATCCAAAAGAGGATGTACATACATAGGACTCGACCAACCTCATCCCTGTAATAGATATGCTCTTTATCTTTTTAGGAGAGTAAGAAGTAGAGCCATGTCTCCCAAAGGTAGGCTACTACTCGATATGGAGTACCCTTCATATCATACCTCCTCGAGGTTGTGTATATAATTCAATAATTTCAAATATTTTTAACCTTTGAACAACTTATCATTTTTAGAGAGAAAGAGAAAACATCCACAACATCTCTTATAAAGGATTTGAAGTGTAGGCCCCACTTGGATGTGTGCATCATCCACGAAACATTGCTCCTTCATTTTGCATCTACGAATTCAGTCCAAGATTGTCTAGATACTGCGATAGGAACATGGTACTGGTACAAGTATGTGAGGGTTAAAAAGGGTTCCAGTACATTTCTGTAGAAAACAAGGCTAGGTGGTCATGGTGGCAGGGCACCACAACGTGAGTCTTAAGTTCCATTCCTATCATGGGTAGGGAACCCCTTCCTTGCTAAACTATTACACCAAAAAAGGATTCATTGGTACAATTTCTAAGACAGATGTTATAAGTTCCTACATAACCGATACACATATACAAGTATACTCTTGGAATGAGCATGTATGATTGGTACTCGATGGCCAAGAAAATATGTGAACATATTGACAATTAAATTTAGAAGATGTAAATGTGAATATTAAAACATATAGAGTTTAACGTTTTAAACTAATGCAAACTCTTTCTCTCTAACCCCCCAACCCCCCCCCGCCCTCCCCCCCCTCCCCACCCTTCTTTTTATTTTTCATTATTATAACTTCTATATTGCTTGTCACAAGAATAGTTCTAAAGGTTACCACATGTGCTACTTCTATGAAGAAGGTTTTTGGGTTTGAATCCCACAATTACCACATTGCTTTTCAGAAATTATCCAAATATTATATGATGAATTCTAATATTATTAGTGCGAGTTTTCACTAGAACTTGGTCCGAGTTCCACTAACAATTGGTAAGAGTTTCACGAATAATTGGTTTGTGTTTTTAGCAAAAATTGGTGTGTGTTTCTTGTATGTTGGTCCTGTTTCGTTCAAACAGTACCTGAAGCAGTTTTGTATAAGTATTGGGGACTGGGAGGGAGACTTGGTAGGCAGTATGTCTACCCCAAAAGAGTACCTAAATAACTATGATATGTTCGTTGTCGAATTTTTGTGCAATTCCTAAGTAACTCCAAGAAGAAGGACAAATTAAAAGCAATTAAACTAGGGACAAAAAATTTGTTGTTTTATTTCAGAAAATAACATATATTTTTAAATGCTAATTTCAATGCCTACTAAGGGTGAGGACCTTAAACTTTCCCTTAACCTGTCCCATGCTTGGATAAAGGAGTTGGGTAGGTAGCCAATGTAAAACTTTCCCAAAACTTTATACAACATGTTAGGAGGTGCAAGTTAGTTCAAATAGAAGGCTAAAAAAGAGAACGGGATAGGCCCAAAAGGACACAATTGGAAGTAGTGAGAAAAGATATGGACTTATGGCCTCATTGACGGTATGGCCCTGAACAGAGAGGAATGGCGAACCAGGATTCGTGTAGCCGACCCCAATTAGTTGGAAGAAGGCTTTAACGACGATGATGATTATGATGACACTGTTGCGTTCCATGAGTGTCCCAACCTCTACCAATCCATGTTTAGCTACACTAGCCCAATACATCTACGACCATCCATAAGGTGGTGGAGGCTCAATACTTGGAATATCAAAATTAATTTAACTAGCTATCGTGGTTAACAATTGTATTCAACTCTAGCCCAATGGTTCCCCTTCATGACCTAGAGGCACATTGTCATCATGGGCAAAGATCACTTCCAAAACATGTCTAGGTTGATACACCATAATAATTTATACAACCTTGTTGCGGGTTTAAGGCTTTGTCTTCTTGATCTTTATGCTCGTCACAAAAGTGAGCACATTACTGGGCTTATCATGTGAGTGTATTTACTTGGCTCACAGATAATAGGCTGCAAAGTTGGCGATGGGGCACCTCAACTAGAACTAGCCTCGAACCTATGCCACCAGGTCGCCAATGAACAACTGCATCCCTCAACCGGTAAGATTTCCCTCATACACTTTGAATGTGGCCTATCAAACTTCCCACAAAATTACCTAGGTAGTCTTTTTAGGTAGACGTCATACCAAGCATACCAGTTCCCAATACTAGCATGAAACAATTGCAGGTACTTCTTGAAGGAAATTGTACCAACATATAAGAATGTGCCTATAAACAAGAAATGCATATCAATTATTCATGAAACTCATAACAATTGTTTAGCGAAAACTTTTTCCAATTTTAGATGCAAACTCAAAAACATACCAATAATATTACAAATTATCATGTATTTTTTGTGAAAAAATTCCCCGAACGAATTTTTAATGG